AACTCTTGTTTTAGAAGTTAACTTTTTTATTTTCATTTTGTATTATAGCATAGTAGAAATTCCAAAGAAATGCCGAAAGATATTTACATTTATAACAGTATTTCTGAAAAATAACGTTTGAAAAAGTCAAAAGCAATGTGTCATAAAACCTTCAGGAAGATGCGTTAGGAGGAGGACAATGTTTCATTTCTTCCTTGTGTTCCTTCCCTATTTCAGATTAACCCTATAAGTTTTATTTCTTTAAAGTTTATTTTTGTTATTTATAAACTTCTAGAATTTTTTTGCAGTCTATTACACTGTTCTATCACAAAGGAAAAAAAATCGATTAAATTTACCTACCTGGACAAAATATATATCCAAAATGTACATTTAACGTATATTCGCCCATATACATAGTTGTGGTCCTGCATACTTAAGTATTACAATTGTAGGTATACCTACAATTGTAATATTTAAGTATTCAGTTAACACATTTTCTTAGATTGTCCTTGAAACTACTCCGCCACCGTACGGTACCAGGGTGTCCCAAACTCGACGCCCCAACCTTATTGTGAAAAAAGGGTGACATTAAGAAAAAATAATGTTAGTTATTTCTAAATTAGGCGCTTTGAAGAGTAAATTTAGCAAAAAATAATTAAAAAATGATGGCGACGCTCAGCGCCGCGACGCTGACGAAAGTATTTTTTCCACAAATATACCTACTTTTTTTTTTACTACGTTCGGTTGGAAAGATAATTGAAATCTCAGAGTTTTTTTATTAAAAATTGGTTTTTCTATATATTATAGTTCGGAAGTTATTACAATATAATACAATAATACAAAAACTAAGATTTAAAATTATTATTTATTAGAAAATATAAATAAAACAGATTTATTATATAAGATGCCGTGACGATTGTGTCCATCGTTGCTTAGAAAATAAATATTTTCATTGGAAAGGCAAAACACGAGTGTAAAGTGACATTTCTGTGTGAAAAGTGACAGGTCTGTGTGAAAAGAAATTGACAGCATCGTTTGACATTCGTTTTAAAATTTGTATTGTGTTTGTATATGTAGGTATGTCTAAATATCATTTAGAACACAATTAATTGTTTTTGTATAATAAATTCCAATTTTGGAGAAGTGCCTTTATGGAGAAGGTAAGTTTATTAACTATTAAGTAACTTATACCTTAAAAATTAAAAGAATAAGATGAAAGTAATTTTAACAGCTGTCAAATACGTTTTAAGGTTATTTTGTTTTGTATTTGAATATATATCTAATAAAAAATAAAAGGGTCGTAGAAAAAACATTGTGTTTTACCTGTGAGAAAAACTTTCTTCAAGCTCGTGTTAATGCACACTCGGCCTAGCGGGCTCGTGAGCAACTTAAACACTTGCATGAAAAAGTCGCTTTTCAACACTTGTAAAACAAATACCTATAGGTATTTCACGGAACAGTCTTGTTTTGATAGACTTTTTAGGTGTTAAGTTCAAAGGCTGGTTGTCTGTTCCACCTTTTTTTTGTGGGGAGGAATTCCAAAAAAAGACAAGTTGTTGCTAAGCCATCGATGACCAAGAACCTGGAACTGAGTTTCTTTCCTCAAACAAAGCCGTTATAATTTTTAACTTTTTGTTAGCATACGTTAGATCAACGTTGCGATGCTACAAAGCTTCAGTTAACTCTGAGAGCCATCAGCCATCAAGCACAACCCTGGCGAAAATGGAATGTGCAAAGTGTGCAAAATTATTTGAGAACAATTTGCCAACAATGTGCAATCTTTTAAAAAATGATGTGCGGAGGGTGGGGAATGGAACATGAAACAATGTGCAAAGCCAAAAGTTTGAAAGTGCCAGATGTTATTTTTCATGAATTATGTCACAATATGTTATTTAATCTAAAAGTAAAACAAAGTCGTTACTTTTTTTGTACCTTGTTTGATTCCACGTTAAAGATCTATCACTCTTATTAAAAAACCCTTTAGGTAGGTACAATGTATTTTAAACTGCGACTTCATACTTTTCTGGCACTTAAAACCTTTTGTTGCAAAACCTATATTTTGTTGCAAAAAAGCACACATCTACTTTGCTACTTCTTTGCCTTCCTGATCGTGTGTTTAAAAGCGTTATATATTATCCAGAAAATATTTTTCGCTTCGATTTTTACACCTCGCTAAAGAAGTTTCACTTAAAAATAAGTGGATAATCCGATGCATTCGTCATTTGAATAAAAATATAAAAGAATATTTCTTCAGATATATTTAGATACACGTACAAAAGTATTTTAAAAGGAAATCACGTAGCCATTTCCTTTATTATTTGCCGTTAAATTTCTTTTTAAAAGACATTTCTTTAGTCAATAATAGTTTGAGTAAGGTATATATGTATTATCTCTGCAAAGTTCTCTTTCCAAGGAAAATAAATAAATTAGTTAATAATATTTAACACAGTTATTAATTAATTGATAAGGAGATAACTTTATTTGCTGGTTGGTGTTGTTTTTCCACGATGAAAAAGTTTTTCATGTAAGTAAATAATATAAATTTTTTAAATTTATTCATAACATAATACTTATACGTATAATGTTAATAGTCAAATTAAGAAAACATAAACGGAATTTTAACAGATAACGGCGCGTATAATTTAATCTTAATTGATGACCATACGAATTGCTTTTTCTTGTAAAGATTAAACCATACTGTATCAAATATTAATAAATTTAATTTCGTTATGAAATAACCAATTAAAATGTTAATTTCTATAACATTTGGCCAGACCTTTCGGACTTTTACGTAACAGTAATTACTGATACATTTTCCTCAGGCCCATAGAGTATATTCAACATGGTGTGACATTTTTTATTTATATGATAAGTAATATTAGCTAAATTTAAACTTTCTACTATGCTTGGTATTATTATACAATTTTTACATCCTCACATTTAGCACCATGAATATATTTATTTCTCTTTCCACAGTCCGTGTATTTCAAACATAGAAAGTATTTTTTAAATTATTTATCTAAGGTATGGGAACATCAGTTAGGCCTAGGGCAAAAAAGGTGCGCAAAATATAATAACTGATATGAACTTTCATATTAGGCTTGAAATTGTATTAATTTTCCTTTATAACTTATGAACGGGTATCAGATTATATCGCCAATAATTAAAATTATAGATGAGATGAAATTAAAATTTTTGTAATATATTAATACTCTTCAGGAAATATTTAGAAAAAGAGTAAGGATAATATTTAAGTACCTATTACAATTTATTCAAAAATAATATACTACAAATCTTTTCAGTCCACCGCGTTTCACCCCGTAACGATCATTGCAAAGTAGGTACCTTGGTGATTTTATAAGGTCCCTTATGTTTCTACTGGAACCACTATTACTTTCATTTGTAATCAGAACTAAAACTATTTCGCCCTCGGCATACTTCAGTGCTTCTTTTCTAGCTCTATTGTATCTTTCCCTTTGTTTGCGCTGATCTTCTGAAATATGATCACTAATCTAATCTCTTAAATCCTTCAAATTGACTGTCAATTTTATTCCAAACTAAATTCGGTAAAGTGCCCTCGTTGTTGGGTGGTGACCGAATAAGGCCAGCGATGGTACTAATTAGTCTTAAGATTTAGTACCATGTATTTATCCCTTTGGCTTTGAATCTGCTTAATTTCTTAATAAAAAATACCTATGAGAATATATAAATTTTTTATCAAATTCATTCATTTATGCATGTAAGGAATAGCTTAGTATTTTAGTACATATAACAATTCGCAAATTTAATGATACCTTCACATTTGGGTCAAAAAGTTTAATGGTATAAATTTATTGATTTTACTTTACAGCACTTGCTTCTTTGCAAATGAGGAGGTCCATTCCAAAACTCGGCTTATCCACTTTTTAATAAAAATGAGTTAGTAGTGTCTGTACATTAAACATGTAGCCCCCTATACCCTGAAAAGGTCATAATATTCTAAAACTTAAAATTAATTTAGGTACAAATTGACTATCGTTCCAAAACTTGCCTTATATCTATAATAATATAACCAATAATTGGGTATATCATGTTAGAACTTGGCTTGTATACAATTCAGCCTATGAGTGTTACAAAATTTCATCACGTGACCATTCCACGACTGAAACTCCATAAACGTCTTATAAACGAGATGGATGAACAAGAGGAAAAAGTGCGAAAATGTGAGAGAGTTTCTCTTAGAATTTAAGTTTATTTAAATGAAAAACAAATGTTTAACAAATTTTTCTCTAAAAAAAACTTTTGACTTTTCAAAACTTGTTTATTTTAAAACCGATTATTCCAAAACTTTTCTTATCCAACTGCAACCAACCATGGTCGTGCCAAAACTCGCTTTATTTATTTTGTAATTTTAAATTATTTCAAATTGGAGCCACACCTTTTTAATCAGGGTATATTAATGTTATACTTATGCCTATATCTTTCGTTTAGGACCAAACATCTCATAGCCGCTGGGGACTGTCCGACATACGATATCGTTGCTTACTTTATTTGTTTATATGTTTACTACAAACCTTTTTATTATAATATTGAACCCAAAATGATTATCTAAGAAATATTTCTGTTTTAGGTAGATTTAAAAAATATATTACAATTTCCTCTCTTATTTTTTCGAAGTTTGGTATGAAGGAAAATAATTGAAGGGGTTAATGGATCAAGGTGTTAATTAACATGTTCGTGCAATGCAAAAGGGGGCTTTGAATAATTCGCTCCCATGTATAACGGTTACTATAACCATAACCTACATTTCAAATTTAATAAATTGGCAGTAATAAAATACTATCTTAATACACAATTTAATAAAGGTAAAATATTCTTTATTTTGTAAATTGTATGTGAATAAAAAACCGATAAGGCATTCCCCTAATACCTACAAATTTAAATCAGTATCAGTTAATTAAAATGTTTTTCTTAAAAAATATACCACACAAACGCTAATAAATCGTTCATTTGCCTTGTGAAGGTCGGAAGACGTCAACTCACTAAGGTGTAGATAAAAATTATTCGTTTGCTTGACTCGTGATTTCGACTAAAGTAAAAGCATTTCTCAAGTGCATGCGGCAGCCAACACCTTAAGAGATTCCACTTCTAATCATTCGGTGTTAACACGTGCTCAAGAATAGACCGGTATCTTGACACTGTATATTAATAATAATTACGCACGTGGGATTTTCCTGCACGGTGGTGGATTCATGGTGGTGAAATGTTTTTTTGACAAGCATTTGTGTTTAGTTAAAGGTGGCGATAAAGTTATTTGGACCAAAATGCCGTCTGATATTGTGTCTTTTGCTGTGACCACAGGCTTTGGGGTTACTGTTCTGACAGGGATTATTTCGGGAGTTTGTTATCTTCTTGCACAAGGAATAAACAAGAAAAGGTAAAACAAATGAAATATTTTTACATTTATAACCTTGTGACATAATATTTAAGTAAGACATACAATTTTCCATGGTTTATTCATAAAATGTTGAAGCAATTAAGGGAGCCTAAATTAGTTTTACCAAACAAAATTAATAAATTCATTAACATTGACAAGGTTATTGTTATTCAGGCGCACCCACTATTTTGTAGATAAATTATAATATATATTTTGTGTTATTGCGATAAAAATTATTTTAAGAAAAAAATATACCTATATAAAGTTTTGTAAAAAATTGAAGTAACTATTATTGGGCGCATTCGCCATTTTAAAACAATGTGTTATTATACAGGGTGTCCTGAAATTAATGCACCATACTTTAACAGCAGATTCTACGTGCAAAAATAAGAAAAAAGTCCCTATAAATATAGGTCGAGAAATGCCTCCTAAGGGAGCTACAGCCCCCGAAAAGGGAGCCCCTGAAGATGGTTTTTATCTAATATAAATAAAAAAGTAGAAACACCCTGTCACTTACTACATGAAACTGACACCTGTCTTGAATTATTCTATTTTTTCCTAAACATGGCAGCCGTATTCCAAGGACCACGCGAGTCAATTTCTATGGTTGTGATTTAATTGTGAATTTTTATGCCATGTAAAATAATTTTCAAATCGATTTTATGCGAAAACGGTGTATGTTATCGAATTTCAACAAGATGACCTTTTTTATGTGCAAAACTCTAAAATTTCATAATCTGACACCAAATTCTGGTACAAGATACGTACAAATAAGTTAAGGTGGTTTTAACCCTACTTCCTATCAATTTGACCCAAACCTCATAAAAATTTTTAAATTGTTATTGTTACGTCTTATTGGTCATAAAAAGTTTAATTAATTCCCCAAATTTCACTTTTATATCTTTAACGGTTTTGGAGATATTAAATAAAACCATCTTCAGGGGCTTTCTTTTTGGGGGCTGTAGCTCCCTTAAGAGGCATTTCTTGACCTATGTTTATAGGGACTTTTTTTCTTATTTTTGCACGTACAATCTGCTGTTAAAGTATGGTGCATTAATTTCAGGACACCCTGTATAAGAGGTGTGTTCAAAAAATATCGGGAATTTTCGTTTTTTGAAACAAATATTTATTTGTTCGGCTACATTAATGTTGTCGCCTTCAAAATAGTCCCCATTGGATATTATGCAAATGTGCCAGCTCTTCTTCCAATACTCGAAACACTTCTAAAACTCGCTCTTTGGGATAGCCTTTAGTTCTTTCAGCGATGCGCTTTTAATGTCATCTATGCTTGCAAAACGACGGCCCTTTAAGGTTCTCTTTATTTTTGGGAATAGAAAAAACTCAGACTGAGGCATGTCTGGCGAATATGGAGGCTGGGGCATCATTACAGTATTGTTTTTGGCCAAAAATTTTGTTCAAAATTTAACAATTTTAGAACCAATTTTGCTGCCACGCGTTTCATACCAAAAACATTCGAAAAAATTTCATGGGATGAGCCAATCGATATACCAACATCATCAGCGACTTCTCTGATGGTTTATAACCATTTCTTCCACTTTTTCCATGTTTTTATCGGGTTTTAATGTGCTTGTGCGTTCGTGGTGTTCGTCATATTTAACGTCTTCACGGCCATCTTGGAAACTCTTATAGGTACCACTTGTAAACTCTTGTTTTACTTATAGCAGACTCACTATAGGCCTTTGTTAAGATTTCACAGAATTTATTTCATTTTTTAAGCAAAATTGGATACAAATTCTTTGATCCATTTCTTTTAACGAACGAAAAACCACCTCATAAAACACGTCTAACCTTAGCGGCTTCCAAAGACAAAGTAAACAATGAAAACAGCTAAAGTTTTTATCATACTTCGGGGGCATGTATACCAACATAATAAAGAAAATTTTATGACAACCGGACCGAACCCGCTAAATTTAACAATTCCCATTATTTTCTCAACACACCTCGTACCTCTTAATGAAAGGAACAGTTTAATCAAATAAATAACCCTATCAGCTAGTCCCGGGCTAGATGGAGCCCCAAATACCGAAAAGCTATATTTTTTGTTCAGGAAGAGGCTTTTGGTATTGGGGGCCTCCAAACGCACGCAAAATATGTGTAGGTACTTACATGGAAATGACATATCTACCTATAGGTATACTCGGATCTAGTTATAGCCAAAGTTTAATAATACCTGCACCCAGACCCGTAAAGTTCCAGAAGAAATTTTAACCAAAAATTGAAAAAAATGCTAGTTCTAGTGCTAGTGGAGGCGGTGCAGTGCACCGGGTGTAAGGGACTTCCAGGTCTATGTGAAGCAGTATAACCTGAAAAATTATAATAATGGGTTTAAATTTCCAGTGATGAAGCAATTCGGAATTCGAATTCGGACACAGCACGTCAAAATATTTTAGAAAAACATAGTCTGGTTTCTGTATAAAAATTTTGTAGGCCCAGTGGTGTAACTACCACCGGTCCTACCGATTTCAAAGACCGGTGCCCCGAGCACCAGAGGGCCCCCAGAAGTGGCATCTAAATATAAGAAAAATGTTCAATATGAAAAAAAATTGTTTTTTTTTGTAGTAATAAATATTCGTTGCCTGCTTGATATTACATTTCTATTGTGTTTTTTTTTCAAATTTCTAAACTCAAAATTTGGAATTAAATATTTTAAAATAAACATAGGTTAATTGTGAATTTAAAATTACAAATCTAGAATCGAATACTTCACATCGAAAGTCTGAAATTTTGAATAGGAAATATACATTTTTAGTCAAAAATAGAAATTCATAGATGAAAAAATAAAAATGAAAAATTTGCAATCTTAAATAAAAAAATTTCGATTTCACATTTGAGGAGCGATCAGACAAAACGAGACAAATCCATTTTAGTGATTTCCAGAAACAAGTCAAAAATAAAAGAATTCTTTTGCTTTTGACTTATTTCTGAGAATCACTAAAATGGATTTGTCTCGTTTTGTCTGATCGCTCCTCATTTACAATTTTGGATAAAAAAATCAAGATTCAAACTCTCAAATTCGAAATCTTATTTAATATAGCATTTATGTTTGAAAATATTGTATGCTATATTATTTTATAGCAATTGCAATGAGACAGTTTGAAATATTGGAATAAAAATATTCTTTGAAACGTAGATCTGATTTGAGTATTATACCATAAAAATTAAATGTTTAACGTGCATAAGACTTGATCCTTTTTTCAACATCATTTTTATCCGTACCTTGAATAATACATCCCTTCGAAATCCTGAGCCATGAATATTATTGTGTAAGCAGGGGGGGTTGGAGTGGGAAAAGTTTAAATAATTAAAAAAAAATTTCTGGTAAGGGCCCCCTAGTGAAAATCCGACTGGGGCCTCCATTTCTATAGTTACGCCACTGTGTAGAATCTAGATATGCTATAAGTGGGCCGCATGATTTTGAAAAAGAAATTAGTTCTCTGAAAAAGACTTGTTATCAATTTTCTATTTAAGGTCTTAGGGAAGCGGTTGTGAAGAATTTACTAACAAATTCAATATAAGGTATTAAACCACTTTTTTTTAATTTAAATCTCTTCTTAGAGAGAAACTAAGTCTAAGCAGACTTAGGGGCCCTATTTAATTTGGCACCCCGGGCTGCCACTTCTTATATCTACTTATTTTGACATTTTCTCAAGAAATTAAAGTATTAAATTTTCGGTTAAATATTATTTATATTTTTTATAGAACTAATTAAACCATATATTAAATCTGTAAAGAAATATAAACATGGTAATTAAATATTAACAGTGGCGTAATAAGCACCCCCGCAGACCCCGCACCGCGGGGGGGCCCAGACGGTCAGGGGGCCCAAGGCGTTCTTTTTCGAAACTAAAAATAGTGAAAACATATCTTCGTAACCCTATAGGAAAACAACGTCTTTGTAATTTATCAATTATTAGTATTGAACATGAGTTTATTAAGACATTAAACATTGACAATATTATAACTGAATTTGCAAAAAAAACTCTAGAAGATCAGACCGTTTTTTGTAGTAAATCTATAAATACTACTTGGACAATCGCATTTTGTGTTTATGTTTTTAATTTTTTTAATTTAACTTCTTTAAGACTGTCTACAATATGTCTTTAATTTTTTTTCAAGACTGTTTAAACTTGGTAAGATATGTATACATTTTTTAAATTATTATTATTTTTAAATAATTAATAATAATTATTGTTATTATTGCTGATATAATAGTATAATACTGCCGTTCTAAAGGCAAAATTTGGTAATAAGAACAGAAAATGTTTAGGTAATTATTATTTAAATATTTAAAAAAAAAAGATATTATATATTATAGTATTACGAAAATGATCCTGCATATAAAAAGGTATATAGAATAAGATATTTTTAAACCAAAATTAATTAAATATTTTATGTTTTACTACCAAAAATTGCAGATACAGCAATTTTTCTTACCTAATCCTTTTTTATTTGCTTATCGTATACATACGACATGTCTGTGTATCGTATACACTCTATACCTACCTGTCAAAAATTTTAATTTAAAAAATATTATGTATTTAATGTAGGTTTAAAAGTACTATGATAAACTATTTTAAAAATTACCTATTAAATAAACTTTTTAATTATTGTAAAGAGGGCCATTAAAATCGTTTGCGGGGGGGCCCACTCAGAATTTTTTACGCCACTGAATATTAACATTACATTTACACACGTGTGTACATGTATTTTATGTACTTTATTAAGTAATAAAGTTATTAAGGGTTTACAAATTAAATATAAATAATTTTTAATACATACAATCAATTTTATAAAATAGCGCATTCGCCATTTTAAAAAGTAAACTTACCTACAGCATAGATAACATTAATTGGGACACTTAAACAAGAATGAATGTGAAAGAGAACAAAAGTAAATATTATTTATTTGCCTGCATAAAACAATAAAATTTTCCTTAGCAGCAGTATTTCACAGTAATTTTTAAAGGTTTTTATTTATAA